CCATCTGGCCATAACCACCTTGTAGGATTACTGGAATTTTTTTCCACAAAGCAAACGCAAGTTTCTTCACCACCTTGGAGCTCAAAAAAGTTGTGTGTAGCACCTAGATTGAAAAGGATACTAACAGCATTACCCTAAATGTCCGCCTTGGCCTTCAACAAGTTGATTGCACATAGAACTATTAATTTCAACAGAGTTGATACGAACTCAAGACTTAGATTCTTGAATTTTTGCCACAGGGTGTGGAAGAGCCACCATAGCAAATGCCTGAGCTGTATCCACAATGGATTCCACCATATTCACCTTAACATTCTTTAATCCCTTCACAAGAGGACAATCTTTGCCGTCCAGCCTTGTGACAACGAAAACAATTGCCCTCCACCTTGTCCTTCTCTCGTTGGTTTAACCGATGTCTTCATTGCCATCTCCACTCTTCGAGCTACGACAAAACAACAGCCATTTCTTCCCTATAGATGAAGTATTGGTGGATTGGTCATCACGTTGACCACCCTAGAGACCATCCTTTTGACCTGAGTTGACTGAGTTGACCGACGGTTTGGGCAAAAAGATTTGAGCCTTAGTGATAGCATCAATCAATGTTGCTGGAAAATCCTTCTTGACCTTCTGCTACATATCCACTAAGCTCAATCCTTTGATAAAACATTGCACCTTTAGCAGCTCATTATAGGTGCTTGTGAGACTAAAGCAAAGATCACGGAACTTGCAGGCATATGCATCCAAAGACAAAGTCCCCTACCGAATCTCTAACAACTGATTCACAAGATCAACCTCTTCAAACTTCTTGACAAATGAAGCGCAAAAAACCTTTATCAAATCAGTCCAAGAAGTCGGCCTCGGATTAGCTTTGATGTAGTTCTTCCACCACGAAGAAACATGGCCTATAAGCTTCATCACAAAGAAATCTATCTTCACCTAATCCTCACAAGGATTGTGAAACCAACAACTTTCTCACAATTCCAACTAAGAATCAACTTTTTAACTATCACAAACATCCAGTGATGATTTTCATTCCATAATACCATAATCCTTGGCATGCTTGATGTACCAATGGTAATCACGGACATAAGATCGATTCAACCTTTGAGGGTCCATGCGAAGTAAGAAATCCTTAATGAGATTGACGGAATCCTTAACTTCATTTATGTCACTCTGAACCACAAGTGTCCTTGCCGCACAACGACATCATCAAGAGATTCTTCTGCATCTTCATGGTTATCATCACTAATGCTATACTCTTCATCATGATCAATCTTTTGCTCACCCACTATCCCCAAAAGAACATGTTGCTCCAATACCAATGAAACGAACAAGAGAGTGAACCCTAGGCTAACTCCCAACCCTTAAGGCGTTACAAACTTAAATCCTCGGGCCATGGAATATTCTTGGAATATTCCTGTTGTTCGTGTCACCTCTGATTAGATCTGTAGTTTTATTCTTCTCAGGAGGGATTCCATCGTATGTTCTGGCATGAGGAATGCCAATGGTCGTTACACCCTACACATCAAAATTTCGTAAACACTTTGAAAAAACCAATGAAATGCAAAACTCCACAGCTGCAAAGCCCGGGGAGCTTTTCCTTGACCGATTTCAGGACGTCTCCATGGGAACCCTAAAGCAGTCTCGTCCTCAACTACCAATATGTGAACTTTTGCAACATCTTTCACGTCCACAAAAGGAATGTAAGCACTTAGCAAAGGATTCTGGGAACCTGGATCACCACAAACAAGACATTGTGTTTGTATGAGAAAACCAAAGAAACTAACCTTCCACAACTTGAGATATTCGTTGCTAGTGTTCATGGTCTGTTGCAAGAGAGGGCCAAACACATCACACAGGCACACCACGACAAGTTCTAGACCATGCTGTCTTCTCAGACTCCAGTACCACCGCTGCAAAACAATGTCAACTCAAAAGACTCAAACTAAAGTCCAAATCCATTGACTTGCCCTCGGTAGTAGTCAATGCTAGCTCTCGTCAACCATCTTGTCCTCCGGACGATCCGAGTCACACATGACCGCGGTGCCGGAAGAGGTCATCACCACTCGCTTGATCTTGCAGTGAGGATCCTCACTGCAACCACGCATCACATCCTCCGTTCCAGTGATTCCTGGGACCAACACATCCTGGCAGAAAAGAAAACCCAGATAATTTCTCATGAGATAAAACCAGCAAGATTCTCACATCTGCGGTGTCAAAATTCCAGAGGAAGGGGCAGTCTGCGTGAAAGACGGCATCACAGCCCCAGACTGCCAGGTTGTAGTCGAGAACACCGGCTTTCAACAGCTTGAGCCTCTCGCCAGCTCCTGGGAGCTGCTTGAGATGTCCACACTTGGCATTGTTACCTGACGATACACATACCATGCATGGGTCATTCAGGTGCAGGTGGTGGATCCAATACTACTTACTTGGATTGCACACGGTGCCGTGAACCGTGTAGCTTCTCGAGAAGCTGCTTTACAATCCAAGAGGCAATGAAACCCCCGGCTCCAGTCACACACATGATTCTTGCTTGCTTCCATTGCCATGCTCTTTGCTTTAATTTGCTACTTACTTGCTCTAGCTTGCGCTGCTGTGTATTTATACACTCTATCAAGTCTTCAAGAATTTCCGCTTGCCTTCTGAGCAAGCATCCTGGAGCACTGTGGGCACCGGTCTCTAGACTTATTGGTAGAATTTAATGTTTTATAGATAGATGGGGACGCTGTGCCGGTCTCTAAGATTGCTATTTAACTTATTTATTGTGGCTAAATTAGATGTGTGCATCATGTTGGGCAGTGGTGGTGGAGTTTTTGTAAAGCAGCAATATGCTCTTGCACCTTTTACTTCTACAATACTAATTTTAGGTGAGAATGCAGTGTTTATGAAATGCAAAATGCGCTTTGAAGTTGCTGGTGGTACACGGAGGCGACAGTAGCAGCAAGAGAGGGTTCAATTTTCAATCTTCTCTTGCATTTTTCCTCCAAATACTATCAAGCTCGGAACACGTCGCACTCCACTAGGGCATCCAACTCGCCATCGCCATCCCTCTTAGAACCCTGGACAATTCCATAACAACAGCAAAATATAAGACGTTCTCTTTGAGTAAGCAAGAACTTAAGAGAAAGCAGGTTAAGTGCGTAAAGTGGAGTTGAGAGTCTTTATAATTTGCAAACCAATACGCACATTCATTCATTTTCGTTTTCATACAGATCTATAGCAATAGTCCTTGAGTTCTTTCATTTTCATGGCAGAAAACCTCGTTCACGGATGCTAGCAATGGTGTCGAAGAGAGTTTGTTCATAAGGTATGAATCCTCCAATTAGCTCTGTAGTTTTCTTGTTCCCAATCTTCTCGGGGGGGATTCCATCGTATCTTCCGGCATGAGGAATTCCAATGCTCGTTTCAGAAACACCCCTACCCATACAAATCTCATTACGCTTTGAACAAAACTGAACAAAAAGGAATGAAAGTAAACTCACTCGTGGGCACAGCAGCGAAGCTCAGGGAACTTTTCCTTGACCAATTTCAGGACGTCTCTGTGGGAAACGCTCAGTGCAACGCAAAAGTAGCGCCCCAAAGCAGCCTCGTTCTCGACTGCCAAAATGTGAGCTTTTGCAACATCTCTCACGTCCACGAGAGGAATGTAAGAACTTGGCGAAGGATTCCGGGAACCTAGATTATCACAAACAAGATAAATGTCTGTGCGAGAAAACCAAGGAAACAACAGTCAAACCTTCTACAACTTCCTTGAGATATTCGCTGCTAGTGTTGAGGGTTTGTTGCAAGAGAGGACCAAACACGTAAACCGGGCACACCACGAGAAGTTTGAGCCCTTTCTCTTCGGCAAACTTCCATGCTGTCTTCTCCGCCTCGGTCTTGGCAACCAAGTACCACCGCTGCAAAACGAAGTCCAACGCACAAGAGTCAAGAGTTAAATTAAGTCCAAAGCAAGTCCCATTTACTTGCCTCGTTTTTGCGGCAGTGGTCAACGTTCGTCCAGCAGCGCTCATCAACCACCTTGTCCTCGGGACGATCGGGGTCAAACATGACCGCTGCGCCGGAGGAAGTCATCACCACTCGCTTGATCTTCTCCTCGCTGCAAGCACGCATCACATTCTCCGTTCCAGTGATTGCCGGGACCAACACATCCTGACAGAAAACAAAACTCGAAATTTCTCATCGCCCACGAGCAAAACCAGCTAGATTCTTACATCTGGGGTGTCAAACTTCCAGAAGAAGGGGCAGGCTGTGTGGAAGACGGCCTCACAGCCCCGGACTGCCGGGACAATGGAATCGTAGTCGAGAACATCGGCTTTGAACAGCTTGAGCCTCTCCCCAGCTCCTGGGAGCTGCTTGAGATGTCCACACTTCGCATTGTTACCTGATGATTGGGTCATTCAGATTTCGGCTATGGATCAAAGGTAAAAGGGAGAAGTCTATGCTTACTTGGGTCGCGCACGGTGCCGTGAACAGTATAGCCTTTCTCCAGAAGCTGCTTTACAATCCAAGAGGCAATGAAACCCCCGGCTCCAGTCACACACACGACCTTCTTGCTTTCTTCCATTGCCATGCTCTTTGCTCTTTTTGCTACTTATTTGCTCTAGCTTGCGCTGCTGTGTATTTATACACTCTATCAAGTCTTCAAGAATTTCCGCTTGCCTTCTGAGGAAGCATCCTGGAGCGCTGTGGCGTCGCAACTGGAGCACTGTGGCGCCGGTCTCTAGGCTACTGTTTAACTTAATTGATTTTTTATAGATAGATGGGGACGCTATTAAGCGTGCTATTTACCTTATTTATTGTGGCTAAATGAGACATGTTGGTGGAGTTTTTGTAAAGTAGCAATATGCTCTTCAGCTACTATACTAATTTCAGGTTAGAATGGCTGGTGCGACGGTAGCAGCAAGGGAGGGTTCAATTTTCAATCTTCTCTTATTTTTACATCCTCCGAACACTAACACGTCGCACTCCACTAGGGCATCCAACTCACTTGGACAATTCCATAACAAGAGCAAAATATAAGAGCTGCGTTCTCTTTGAGGAAGCAGGAACTTAAGAGAAAGAAGGTTAAGTGCGTTAACTTCACTCCTAAAGTGGAGTTGAGAGTCTTTATCTTTTGCAAACCAATATGCACATTCATTCATTTTCGTTTTCATACAGATCTATAGCAATAGTCCTTAAGTTCATTTTCATGGCAGAAAACCTCGTTCACGGATGCTAGCAATGGTGTCGAAGAGAGTTTGTTCATAAGGTATGAATCCTCCAATTAGCTCTGTAGTTTTCTTGTTCCCAATCTTCTCGGGGGGGATTCCATCGTATCTTCCGGCGTGAGGAACTCCAAAGCTCGTTTCAGGAACCCCCCTACCCATACAAATCTCATTACGCTTTGAACAAAACTGAACAAAAAGGGATGAAAGTACACTCACTCTTGGGCACAGCAGCGAAGCTCGGGGAACTTTTCCTTGACCGATTTCAGGACGTCTCTGTGGGAAACGCTCAGTGCAACGCAAAAGTAGCGGCCCGAAGCAGCCTCGTTCTCGACTGCCAAAATGTGAGCTTTTGCAACATCTCTCACGTCCACGAGAGGAATGTAAGAACTTGGTGAATGATTCCGGGAACCTAGATCATCTCAAACAAGATAAATGTCTGTACGAGAAGACCAACGAAACCACAGTCAAACCTTCTACAACTTCTTTGAGGTATTCGCTGCTACTGTTGAGGGTTTGTTGCAAGAGAGGACCAAACACGTAAACCGGGCACACCACGAGAAGTTTGAGCCCTTTCTCTTCGGCAAACTTCCATGCCGTCTTCTCCGACTCCGTCTTGGCAACCAAGTACCACCGCTGCAAAACGAAGTGAGAGTCAAGAGTCAAACCAAGTCAAAAGCCAGTCCCATTTAGTTGCCTCGTTTTTGCGGCAGTGGTCAACGTTCGTCCAGCAGCTCTCATCAACCACCTTGTCCTCGGGACGATCGGGGTCAAACATGACCGCTGCGCCGGAGGAAGTCATCACCACTCGCTTGATCTTCTCCTCGCTGCAAGCACGCATCACATTCTCCGTTCCAGTGATTGCCGGGACCAACACATCCTGACAGAAAACAAAACTCGAAATTTCTCATCGCCCACGAGCAAAACCAGCTAGACTCTCACATCTGGGGTGTCCAACTTCCAGAAGAAGGGGCAGGCTGTGTGGAAGACGGCCTCACAGCCCCGGACTGCCGGGACAATGGAATCGTAGTCGAGAACATCGGCTTTGAACAGCTTGAGCCTCTCCCCAGCTCCTGGGAGCTGCTTGAGATGTCCACACTTCGCATTGTTACCTGATGATTGGGTCATTCAGATTTCGGCTATGGATAAGGGAGAAATCTATGCTTACTTGGGTCGCGCACGGTGCCGTGAACAGTATAGTCTTTCTCCAGAAGCTGCTTTACAATCCAAGAGGCAATGAAACCCCCGGCTCCAGTCACACACACGACCTTCTTGCTTGCTTCCATTGCCGTGCTCTTTGCTCTAATTTGCTACTTATTTGCTCTAGCTTGTGGTGCTGTGTATTTATACACTCTATTAAGTCTTCAAGGAAACATCTTATAAACTCTATTAAGTTTTCAAGGAAGCATCCTGGAGCACTGTGGCTAGACTACTGTTTATCTTAATTGGTAAAATCTAATTTTTTATAGATAGATGGGGACGCTGTGCCGGTCTCTAAGCTTGCTATTTAACTTATTTATTGTGGCTGAATCAAATGTTTGCATCATGTTGGTGGAGTTTTTGTAAAGCAGGTGAGGACCATGCTGACCAACCCAAGAGGCATCAGGGAGGGCAACAGACAGGTCGGTGAAGCCGAGGGCGGGGACAGAAGGCATGGTGGTAGAAGACCTGGAAAAGCTTAGCGAACGAATGGCTCATGAGATCCCTAATGAATGAGTTAATAAGTTTGCTATACTAATTTCAGGTGAGAATTCAGTGTTATGCAATGCAAAATGCACTTTGAAGTTGCTGGCGGTACACGGAGGAGACAGTAGCAGCAAGGGAGGGTTCAATTTTCGATCTCCTCTTGCATTTTTACATCCCTCCAAAGACTATCAAGCTCGCTCTCCAGTAGGGCATCCAACTCACTTGCACAATTGAGCAAAATATAAACCTGCGTTCTCTTAAGCAAGAACTTAAGAGAAAGCAGGTTAAGTGCGTCGACTCCACTCCTAAAGTGGAGTTGAGTCTTTATCTTTTGCAAACCAATACACACATTCATTCATTTTGGTTTTCATACGGATCTATAGCAATAGTCCTTGAGTTCTTTCATTTTCATGACAGAAAACCTCGTTCACGGATGCTATCAATGGTGTCGAAGAGAGTTCGTTCATAAGGTATGAATCCTCCAATTAGCTCTGTAGTTTTCTTGTTCCCAATCTTCTCGGGGGGGGGTTTCATCGTATCTTCCGGCATGACCCTACCCATACAAATCTCATTACGCTTTGAACAAACTGAACAAAAAGGAATGGAAGTACACTCACTCTTGGATCATCACAAAAGATAAATGTTTGTACGAGAAAACCAACGAAACCACAGTCAAACCTTCTACAACTTCCTTGAGATATTCGCTGCTAGTGTTGAGGGTTTGATTTTTGTGTCATGTTTCAACTTTTCAGCTTGTGATGGTTTTTAGAAATTCAAATATAAATTCCTTCCCTTGACAAACAACAGAGTGTAACTCAAGAATCCAGATTTCTAAAAGACAGAGAGCCAATCAGTTTGCACTTAACATGAGGGGAGATTGCAGACGCCGAGGAGACTGTTGGCGAAGGGACGCAGCATCGGGGTACAGGCGCCGCACTCGTGCGCAAACTTGGCCATTGGCATGCAGCACTGCTCCGTGATGTTGGTGCCGCGGCTGCCGGTCAGCACGTAGCTCTGGCACCCGTTATACTTGCTCAGCATGTAGCGGAAGTTGCATGCGCCGGTGCTGTTGCTTGAACCTGATCCCGCTCCTGAACCTGATCCCGCACCTGTTCCACCGCTTCCGCCTCCAGGGATGATCGGAACTTGGGCCTGCGCGCAGACGCCACTCTGCTCATCCACCACCAGCAGCAGAATGAAAAGCACTTGAAATGCTGCGGAGATTGCCAGCTTCGAAGACATTGTCGATGGAGATTCTGCTTGCTCGCCGAGGAAGAGCCAAGAGGAAGTGCAAGACGCAGTGAGCAGCGATGCGATGGCTGGTTCCTGGCTTTGGCCGAGCATGGGAATTTATATGCGTCTCGAGCCTGGATGTTTGATGGTCAATAAATGTTGACACAACAACAACGCCCCAAATCTCTCCACAATCCCCGCGAGCGTTGCAACCACAGCCATGCAGTGTCTCTTGCATGGAAGTATTCTCTTTCCAGTTAAATACCATGAGCTAATTTACAAATCGATAATATAGATGCCATTCATTTTCACTTTTCTTTTTCGGCTCTTTTTTTTTTCTGGTTGGAAAGAAAGTTGGAACCATGACCGCTCTCGCTTAACTCACAGACCTTGTATGCTCTGGACAATGGTGTGGTGCCATGGGTCGCTAAGGTGCGTCAGCAAGTTCTCGAAAGGTCCCTGGTGTGTCACGTTGGACTGGATGATGAATCCAAGGAACGCGAGCATTGCAAGGCGACCTGCGCAAAACAAAGGTTCGATCGATCACACAATCAAGAGCTTTCGAAGAACAAGAACTATACCATTTGCCAGCTCCTTTTCTTTGTACTCCTCGTTGGCTGGGAAGTTGAGAGGATTGAAGATGCCTCCCGGGTAGCCGACCTCGTTGGGAGGCAAGCTGTAGCCCTTGAAGATCGGATCCTGGTTGACGCTCCCGGGGTACTTGATGTCTTGCCATCTCCTCACCTCCACGTAGTGGAACATGAGAAACTCGATGACGAAGAGCGTGGACGCTGGAGCAAAGTACTCCACCTTGCCAGCGTCGTACCACAGCGGCGCGTTGATCACCCCGATCTTGGTGAGGACCTCAGGGATGAGCATGCCGGCGACTCCAACCATGGCCCAGCGTCCGTTTTGGAGCTCGGCTTGGACGTACCACTTGAGGTTGGCTGGGTCGCCGGCGAGTCCCAAAGGATCGAAGCCATTGTCTCCGGGAAGGCTGGAAGAAACCAAGACAAGTGTAAGCTTCTCACACAATCCTAGCTCAAGACAAGTTCACCACACTATACTATAGATTTCACACAAATCTTTGTCTAGCATCGAGCTTTTGCGTGCATATATATCCATGCCAGGGGCTTCCAGGCAATGTGATCTACTTGGACTAAAAGCCATACTTCTAGCATTGCACCGAAACTAGAGCCTTATCGATCAGAGAACTCTTTCTAATCTGCTATAGAAAGATCACACGAGCTCACATACCTTCCATTGAGATAGCCAGGAGACGCCAATCCGGGGCACCACTCGCCTTTCTTGGCCTCCACCTTGAATTTGCCAGTCGCGAACGAAGGCGCGGCCACGGCTCGGGATCCCCTCTGGAGCTTGCTACTCGATCCCGAGAGGAATGTGGATGGGCACGACACGCCGATCGATGCCTGCATTGTCGATGCCGCCATGTTTCCTCCTCCTCGGCTCGATCCCTCAAGCAGTGTCTTCTTCCAATTTTACCTAAGAAGGACTGGATGTGTGGCCTTGGCCATCGGGCGGCCCAGCTGCTCCCAGAATCTAATCTGACGGCTCCTGGCCAGCCTAGTTTTCGCAATGGATATCTCGGCGTGGCCAATGAGAGTGCGCATGGCCAATCCGGCCGGGTGCTCCCTGGGCCGTTCGTTTCTGGATCCAACGGCTGAACGCAGCTCTACCATAAGAGCCACAAGAGAGAGTTTGTGGCTTCCAGTTTGCTGCTCTCTCCATATCTTTTTCTTCCATCAGAGAAGTCTAGATAATTAGTATAAATGGTTAAGCATTTACCCTTAGTTTTGCTAAGCTATTGATTCATAGCTTAAGAACTCAACTGTATAGCTAGAAAGCATAGTAGGGAAGACTGCTCGCGTCTACAAAGTAGACATACTAGACACACTTAAGATCCAACTTGATGTGATTGCCAAGTCACTCCTTGATGCTATCATAATCAAGCACCCCTTGAGCTGATTGATTGTAGGCCTGCTAGATGTAATTTTTTCCATTTTCACATTTTTTTTCATGTGTAAGCTTCCTAGATATCAGAATCCAAAAGGGAAGAATAATCCAGCACCCCTCTCTTACATGGCTACCCCCTTGCGACACTCACTGCTCGCACATGCTTAGTGCTGCACCCTAAATTAGAAATGCTAAACTTTAATTAGTAGACGTTATTAACATGTATGTTAATGATTATAATTTTATAATTAGCCAGTGAATGAACAACTATAATTTATAAATATATAACCTATTCTTGGTTTAAGTTTTTCCTCACGTAGCTTTTACCCTTTATCCTATGGCGATTTACTATAGGATAACCACAAAATGGAACTTAAACCCTCTATGTGTCATATGCCATATGCCATATATCATGTGTCCAAAGGACAGTGATGTTGAATCTAAGTTTTAAAGCCTTAGGCCACTAAATGAAAGAACAGAGCTAAATTCCCAAGCATGGAGCCAATGAGCAAAATTACTAGAACATAAAGTGACTCTTGAGCATATAGCTAAAAGAGCGAAGGGACAAGAGTATAGAACAACTTGGAACAGTCCTAGTGCATTTAGCATCCCAATGCTAGGACCAATATGCAAAACAAAGCAAAATAAAGTCTGGCAATATTTTAGCATACCAATGGCCTAATGTCAAGATATAAATATTCCACTAACTAACATTGGAATTTAGGTTTAGACCCAAGCTAAACATAGAACAAGAAAGTGGAAGTTAAATATACTTCAAGTTAGTTGAACATAGCCAACCTACCTACTATCCCTACTATACATTTGGATTCTTCATATCCATTAATAAAGAGATGCATAATCATTGTCGAAGGAAAAATCTATTATTCTAAAGAATGGCAAATCATTCTATATTAACAATAATCAAGTAGAAATTTTTTACGAGGATAATCAATTACCCTAAATGATAGTTAATCATCACCAATGATTGTTAGATATAAAAATTAACTTCAACATTAAAGCTAATGAGCCAAAAATGCCTTCCTTAGCAACTTTTAATAAATGAAATAATGAGTATGAGAACTTAAAAAACCAAAAGCTTGAAGAAGCATATAGCTAAGTTGAGCCTAATAATGATCATGAGTCTTGCATGAATTAACTTCAATGTTAAAAAAGAAATCATGGTACAACTCATAATATCCTTTTTAACACATCCATAAACCAAACTTCATAATACCAAAGCGAATGAAGAGAATGTTTACATCAATCTAAAAGTTAAGCATAACAAAGTTATGTTCAATAAGTGATCACCAAATGATCTTTAAAGAATCCATCTATAGCAAAATGTAACTAACTTTACAACAAGCACAAGAAGAATCATCAATGATTAATATATCCCAACTTAAATTTAACAAAGAACCAACATTTTCAATATCAAGCACTAACTCTTTTTCTTGTAAAATTAGTATAGTTTATAGCTAAATCATGTTTCAAGGAAAAGCCAAAGCTCAACCCTTACTAAACAATTTCATCTAAAACACAACTAATTCAACTTGACACTTAACTTATTTAAACGCCAAGATAGTTGCTAACTAGCAAATGCACGAATGCTAATAACATAAAGCTATAACCTAAACACCAATAATATTTATATCAAGACTAATGAAATTCAATATCAATCATATAGAGAGACATTTCATTTCACTTGAATTTCAACAACAATAATATCAACAACAAAGCATCACTTCAATATCATCAACACCATAACAAAGTTAATAGAAAGCAAGAGTAAATCACCATACAAAGTTCTTTAGCAATTAAGCTAACCAAGGTTGAAAATACTATACTTAGTATCCGAGACCAATCATTCAGCAAAACTTAGTTACAGATAACACATCATCAATGAGTGATTCACCACATCTAAGACTCAATGTAATCCAACTCTATGGATTAAACACAACCAAATGATATCGACAAAGGTAGAATCAATATACCAACATAGAAAAACCAAGTAAGTTTAACAATATCATCCTTCACACCACCATCTGGTAAAGCAACCCTATCACTGATAAATCTTCATCAAGCAAAAGTAGTGTTCACAGTCTCAAAAAAATCTACAAGTAATCATTAGTTGCAAAGCAACTAACAATCACTTTTTAACTTGCCTTTCACAAGACCCAAGTATTAAACTTATGCCATTGAGTCATATACTTCTTTAGATATGAGATAAAAGGTTCATGGACAAACATGAACTAAATGACTACTCAAATCCAACTCAACCGCAATAAATTCACTAATAAGTGTAGCCAATAGCTCTAAGCATGCTTTGAAGAAGCTAGCTATGCATGATCAACACTTAGTTGAAACTAAAGTGAAAACCACGAGATAGACATATAATGGTACACAACCTCTTTATAGACAAAGCTATAGTACGGGTATTGACATCTTAACCTCAAAAAACTAAGTTAGACATCACCATCCTTAGCCAAAGTGTAAGGCTACCAAGACTAAGTCAAGATTAGTGAGAGCTCATTACTCTCATAAAGTTTAACAAAATATAAAGTGCAACTTGCCACCAAGCATAACGTTACAAAAGAAAGGCACAAGGGTCACTTTTCTAAAAAAGCATAACGGCCACTTTTTTACACAAACCTTAGACTCTAATCAACTTAATTGCCTTAGCCCCAAAAGTTAACATCATTTTCAGGATGTATTATACAAATTACTTACTAAGATCTAAGCCAACCGAAGTCAACTCCAACCCCTTCACTAATTTGTATTGGCTTTCGAAAATGAAATGGTTCTCGGGCAAAATGATCAATAAATCAACCATTGGAAAAAGTTAAGAAAATTTATGGAAAATTTTCCATCCTAAAGAAAGAATGATTCTTAGTCTAGGAATGCAAATTTTCAAGACTCAACCAATTTCCTTCTACTAACAACTTCACATAGGTTCACCTCAACACAAATTCTTATGACCCAACAGTATGTTTAAGCAATATCAATCTTAGACAAAATGGTTTAATACTTTACTGCTATCCATCCCATGACTCACCACTTGTAAGACCATTATAATTAACATGCATAAAGATAAGGACTTTTGATTGCATAATATGAACATGAGTAATGAGTTAACACTTTGTTGCAAATCATCTCTCCAAGAAGAAAAAATGATTTACGTGTTTGATTCTTCATCTCTAATGACTCTTTTTTCGGTCTCATATTTGACTAAACCTTATATTTGTATTAGCACTGCTTTTAGTCCAATCCAAGAAAAGTTTATGAGAGAGTACGGCAATGACTACTTGAACTAATAAAATAATCCCTACAGTCTTAATTGATCCACTTATAATCATGCCTAGGAAGGATCCATTAGTGCTATGCTAAATAGCTATGGACTAACATATTTGCCACTCATAGCAAACCCAAGGGAGGTTTACTTTTACCCATGGTACAAAGAACAACTCATGGAACCATTAATAAGCTAACATTAATCCTACCAACTCAAAGTATACCCTCGAGTTGCTAATGTGCTTCAGTTATAAGCTCGAGCGCAAACTCGCATAAAATGGTATACCTCAAATCCATCTTGCCAACTCAAAATGTAACCTTGAGTTGCTAATATGCCTCACTCACGAGCCCAAGCACAAATTTGTACAAATGGAACATCTCATTCTATCTTATGAGTCCAAGAGCAAGCTCACATAATATAATACAAAAAAGTAACCAAAATCCATACCCAAGGAATGAATGCAAAATCTTAGCACCCAAACATGTATCTATTCGGATCATCGTTTTCATCTATGTGTATGCAACAAGACTAATTGCCCAATCTAATTGGATAGCATTCGCTGAGATGTATCCTCTGATACCAAATATAGCATATGTGGTTTTTACCCTTTATCCTATGGTGGTTTACTATAGGATAACCATGAAGTGGAACCTAAACCCTCTATATGCCAAGTGTTATATACCACGTGCCACATACCACATGTCTAAAGGTTAGTGATGTGGAATCTGAGTTTCAGGTGTAAGCAACCAAAGGGAACGACTTGAGAAACGGTCCATAGGGTTCAAATATAAAGGGAAAGGGCCCATGAACAAGAGTGCACCCCCTTTTCCAATCGGTTAAAGGTCTTGGGATATTTGGGGTTAAACGTCCTTGGGTTTGAATAGTACTGGGCTGGGTGATCTCCCGGGAAGTCCAAACTCAAGAGCTTATATTTGGTATCAGAGAGGTCTCAGGTCCGACTCTGTTGGTTGGCTAGGGGAATCACACCACATGTTGATTGACATCTGGCTGGTCCAGTTTGCTCCCGCTGGGCTCGACCCGAGGGGTAGGGTGTAAAGAGAGCGAGGCTCTCGGGAGAGCTGCGGCTCTCAGCTTCCGTTCACGAGGGCGTGAACTTGTAGGGAAGCGTGGTGGATTGTAAGCAACCAAAGGGAACGACTTGAGAAACAATTGTAAGGAACCGACTCCCCGAGATGTCGTAGGCTAAAGGATCCCCAAAAGCTTGACCGAAATGACA